TCTTAACAACTTCTGTCCTACACTGTAATTTTAAGATTGTCCGTTTTTCAAAAGTTGAAAAAAATGGCGTCACCCGAAAAGCAACGTCGCGAATTGATTTTGCGTAAGCACCTTGAAAATCCTCAACCCTCTCATCGGGACATCGGAAAACAACTCGGAATCGTGCAGTCAACGGTGAGTCGTGTGAGTAAACGTTACTACCAAACTCTGAGCATTGAATGGAAGGCAAAATGAGATCAGAATGGATGTTCTATTAGTGATCAGGATCACAAGCGTGTCGGAATCCCAATGCTTCGGTCAGGGATGTGGCCAAAAAGTTGAACCTGTCCAAGTCTTTCGTTCAGAGAGCCAAGAACCGGGAGGGACTGCATACATACAAAGTACAGAAGGCTCCAAATCGTGACGAACGGCATAATACGGTGGGAAAGTCATGGGCCCGGAAACTGTACACCCAGATGCTGACGAAGCCTCATTGTCTCATCATGGATGATGAGACTTACGTCAAGGTGGACCTCCGGCAGCTTCCGGGGCTACTGTTCTTCACCACCCAGCACAAGTTTGATGTTCCGGAGGAAGTAAGTTAGCAGAAACTGTCAAAGTTTGCCAAGAAATACATGATTTGGCGGAGTGGGCCGTTCGTGACTACCGGGACTGTAAACGGGGAGATCTGCCTCAAGAAGTGTCTACAGAAGCGTTTGCTTCCTCTGTTGAAGCAACACGAGGGCCACTGGTTGGATCTAGCTTCAAGCCGCTATTCAAATGTTGTAACTTTCGTACCCAAGGATATGAACCCCCCCCCCCTCCCCAACGCACCGGAACTAAGGCCCATCGAAAGATATTGGTGGACATCTCGTCTAGGTTGCTGTCAACACGACGTATTGTATAGTGGACAGCGACTATACGATTTGACTTATAATTATTTGCTTTAACTTGAAAGCTCAACTAGATAGATGGTGGTGGTTTTGACAAAGTTGGTCAGATTTATATGACCTATGGTGGCCAGATTAGTTGCAAATTTCTTCACCAGGGTATGGCCAGATGTTCAGATGCAGAAGACCTATTGGATGTAGCACAGTTTAATTCAGAATTCTTTAAATATTTTTTTTTGATGAGTTCTTCTCGTTCTTCATAGTTTTTACGCCACTACTGGAACTCTGCTTTTGTCTTGAATTTTCATTTGTATGCTCTTTCAGGACTGCTGTCGTTACTTGTGAAATAGAGATTGCACGAATGTGGCTTGCAACTTATTGATTTGCCAGTAAAAGATTTGCAACTTTCATGGTATACAGCAGCGAAAGAAAGTCGGGCAAAGACTTATCAAAGTGGTACCATAATGTTTGCAAATTTTAATACAGCCCTATGCCTTGTGTAAACGAGGATAGATTAGTTCAAACTCATCAATATATGTTAATATGAAACAATTTAATGAACGATAAATTTATTGAATTACTGCGGTCGCAGTTTGATAGATTTTTGTTTGAACACAGATAAACAACAAACTCCAATGAGATTCAGTTTATTTGTAATAATGTTGCAACATTTAAATGTAATAATATGGTATGACGTATTTATATGCATTTTGAAACGGTTTGCTATATGAAATGCATTTTAAATATCGATTTTTCACTACGGTTACTGTAAATACATAGTATTCAGTAGGTACCTATACATTTGTTGTACATATTTGGAACCTCATTTTGAATGGGATAGGAACTGAATTTTGAAATATGAAAATTGAATTTAACTATGGATATTGAATGTCCTCTAAGTTCAAAACTTTGAATTGAATGTTTGTTAATTTTAGAATAAACTATATATAAATCAATAATTTTGTAATTATTAAATAAACTACTAAGCATAATAGCAATCTCGTAGTCCTACGTCAATAATGGGCCTGTGATTGGGATACAACCCATAATTTTTTTTATTCACATAGATGTAAATTTTTCCTCGAATACACGTGTTACTTAATCACCATCTGTCTATCGTTAATGCAATGATAATGGTTGGAAATGAACTTACACGCGTCGGAAGCACACAACACAAACGGCTTCCGAAATCGTTACACACTGCATCATGGGGAGTAATTGCCTCGAACCACCCACTTCCTTTCGCATATCAAACATGCAGAAGCAAATTACTTGCTCGTGTTATTGTGTCTAAAGTCTCCTGGGTCGTCCATAATACGTTAAGCCGCAGACTAGCATAACGATACAGCGTGCAGAAATGAGTTTTCGGATTCAGAAAGTGAAATATTTTCATATTGGCCAAATAAGAGAGTTATTCACGCATTTCAAATCAATTGGTACCACTTGCAACTACTCACTTTAAAGATGTATTCAGTATTAATTGGTCTACAATCAATAAACATGGCTGAGCAATGAGTTTTCAAACATTACCAATTTGCCGTTACACATTTACCGGAGGCATCATGTTCGTAGTGATAATTTATGATTCGCCCATCCTTTCGCTCTTCACCCGGAAGAAGTTTCATGCACCCAATAAACTAACTCGTATCCGTTACTGACAGAACAACAGATTGCTGCAGTATCCATGCTTATTTTCGGGAAACGTTTGTTCAAGTTCACTCAACTCTGTGACCTTAAATTATCACAATGTCCAATAAAAAAAAAAAAATCTTCCAGTCGAATGTTATTTCTTCCACACGACGACTACAGCAAATGGAATATATTTATGCCACCTTGCAGAGTAAACCAAGATTGAAAATGCCCTCCGCTCTGTTTTCCACAATCCCGTTTCTGGTAGGATGGCACCACCACGGCAATGTCATGACAAATTCATGTGAAGCAATCTAAAATTGGAAAAAACGAGCTTACATGGTGCGGTGCATGAATTTGTGAATCTTGGTGCTGGTGGAAAAACGTTCTCCAATGGACCACTTTGTCATGCAGTTTTGACGTGATTTTCTACCAGTGATTTCACAAACAGAACCAACATATTTAATTGTTTTTAAACGCTCAAATTCGGGTTGCTTTTTAGGTGGTTCTAGAAGAAAAAATCTCAAAATATAGTTTTATTTCGATGTTTGAGTGGTAGCAAACTTAATTTTAACTGTTCGATATAAGTGGATAATTTTTTTTTTTTTTTTTTTTTTTTATTATAGTCACTTTAACACTCTTGGGTCATTCGTGACTTGTCCGGGGTGAGATTTGAACTCGTGACTCCGGCGTGAGAGATATGGATGCTAACCACTACGCCGGAGTCGCCCCCTAAGTGGATAATTGTTATCAAACAGGTAGCAGTGATTTCGGGTTCAGCATCGTGCTCTCTTGCCGTGCGGATCTATTTGGTGAACACAAAAGAAAGGAACAATCTCTTGATCCCCCTTCTGATGGAATTAATTTGAGCAATCAATTTGATATGCTCACAGAAGATGAAAATCACGGAAATGGTCTCTCCTATTGTGATAACCACTTCCGATTTCCATGTTCTTCGCACGGAACTTTTGAACTTCGATAAATTCAAGTATTCACTTCAAATTGGCCGTCGGGGTGAATGCCGTGTATTGGCTGAAACCTTGGACGGATTCAAACGACTTCTCTTACTGAGAAGCAACACAAATTTTTCACTAACTACACCAAAACCGAACGTCTGTTCAGGTTGTCTCAGGTGGTCCCAGTGGATATTTAATGATTTTTATTTAGTTCACTTCAAGTATAGTGAACTAAACAACCTCAAGGCCTTAGAAAAAGCTAGCCTTATGCTCCATGTCCGAGTGAAGTGGGAACATTTCAGGAAGACTATTGCTACATACCAGCTAAATGCACGAATTGTGGTGATTCATCTCTCGCAAAGGACGCCTGTAATGTGAAGGAAGATCCTAAGAAGTTTAAACGTTAAAATTGTGGTGAAAACCATAAATCCATTCTTTTTGGGAATGTAAGACTCGTTCTATGCGACAGATAGAAAACACTCCACGTTCCCGACCAGATACTAATTTCTCTGTTGTTAACAATGGTCAGCGAGGAACTGATTTTATATTCGTACCCGTAGGTACAAACAGCTAACAAGCTTCAAATTATTCATCTAGGGCTGAAAATTGCAAATATGACTGTTTGTTCTCGCAACACGCTCCACAGCTGGTGCTAGCGGGTACACTTTTAGACCAGTTTTTCTAGCCCTTCTGGCAACCGCGTCCGCTCAGCTTCACTGACAGGAACGTGATTTTCAATGCCCCACTAGCAACTACATATCAGCCTGTATTAGAAAGTTTTGTTGTTGTTCGATCACAAGTAAATTAGCCTGCAAAAGGGAAAGTTGATAAAAAGGAAGTGTAGTTTTTTTTGTTGGTTTTTTGCCATAAATTAATGATAAGCCGGAATATCGTTGCTGCCCATCGCTGAGCCCTTGGTGCGACGGATGAAGAAACAGTAAACACAACGTAGGGTAAGCGCGCCAACATAATTTTGGTGCCGTGACCAGGATACCTTTCGGACCGCGTGCTGAGTGTTACTGGGCGCCGCCATCTTCAAGGCCGGCACAAAACGGTATTCAACGGAGTAGATTAGTTCGTGATCCTGCTTGCTGCTTGTAAAATACAAGGCTTGATTTATCGGGCACAAGGTAACGACCTGTCCATTTGATTTGCGGGTATCACAGGTGCCCTTTAGATCTTCTTTCCCTTCTGCTTGCATGCGCTGATTGATCCCGATTGTTCCTGCTCGACAATTGCTACTATTCACACCGGAGTGTGGCATTGTTGCTGACCTGGAAGCGCCATTTTCATCATCGATCGGCGCACAATTGGACCTTTGTGCACCTTGGCGTTCCTAGCCATTGTGTAGTACAATTTATACAATTTCTTGTTGTATCATCGCATCGTGTTGTGACGATTTTACTGGTGTGGCTTGACGACTTTAGGTACGGTCGGTACTGCACCGTGTTCCTGTTTGGAGAATTTAAATACAAGGCACCGTACCTGCCTTGGACAAGGTTATTCATCGAGTGCGTGCTTTTGATTCATCGATCCGCTGCACGATATGGCGGAAGTGCAGACGAGAGCCCAGCTGCTATCGAGACGAGAGACGCTGCTTTCATCATTGGGTCGGGCAGAAGCTTTCGTCAGTGGATATGAAGCACAACGAGACCAACTGCAAGTTCCGTTGAGAATCCAGTACTTGGACGGCGTATGGAACAATCTGGAAGCGGTTCAGGCGCAGCTTGAGGACAGCGAGACGACGGATGAAGGAAGGGCAGAGCATGCTACCATTCGTGCGGGGTTTGAATCAAGGCTGTTTGAAATAAAAGCCAGTCTCATTTCGAAATTACCTCCTATTATTCAAGAGCGCATCCCTCCTCCCCCTCAAGTTTCCTCCACTCTCTCTGGGATCAAGCTGCCGACGATTTCTCTACCCGAGTTCGATGGAGATTATATGCAATGGCTTGCATTCCACGATACCTTCATGGCGCTCATCCACTCGAATCCAGATCTGCCAGCCATTTAGAGGTTCCACTATCTACGAGCAGCAGTCAAGGGTGAAGCTGCTCAACTGATCGAATCGATTGGCATCAGTTCCGCTAACTACGCTTTGGCTTGGCAGACTCTGGAGAACCGGTATTCCAACGATTATTTGTTGAAGAAGCGACACCTGCAGGCACTCTTCGACATCCCACGCATGAAAAAGGAGTCCGCTGCAGCATTACATGGATTGGTGGACGACTTTGAGCGGCACACGAAGATTCTTCATCAATTGGGAGAACCTACCGACACCTGGAGTGCTATTTTGGAACATCTTCTGTGCACGCGACTGCACGATGACACTCTAAAGGCGTGGGAGGACCATGCGTCGACGGTGGTGAATACGGATTACACCTGCCTCATCGATTTCCTGCAACGGAGGACACGAGTACTAGAATCCATCTCCGTGAATCACCACACAGCCGAATCTGCTTCTGGTTCCAGTGGGCATTCTCATCCGTCGAGGAAAAATCAGGTCCACACACAGCTTCGCCTTGCTTCTTGTGCATCGACTACTAGTTCTGGGGAAAAGTGCATCGCCTGCAGCCAGTCACATTCTGTGACGAAATGCGTCAAATTCAACCGACTTTCGCCGATCGAACGACAGCAGCTTGTAGGCTCAAAACGTCTGTGTCACAACTGCTTGAGGGGTGATCATTTCGTTCGCAATTGCCCTTCCAGTTTCAACTGCCGTAAATGTAATCGACGTCATCATACTCTTCTTCATCTTGGACAGACCGAGAGTTCTCGCAGGACTAGCAACGAAGGTACTTCTCCTAGTGTCGAAGCCGCTCCGAGTTCGCTTTCTCATGCACCATCTGCAATTGAGTCGTCCACACAATCGATGGTTACTGCCTCCGAGAATGTTCCGCCAGTTGAAGTCAGCACAGCTCTGCAGCATCCTCGTGAAAACGTTTTTCTCCTCACCGTCGTTGTGAAGGTCATCGGAGCGCACGGTGTGGAGTATCTAGCCCGCGCGCTTCTTGACAGTGCCTCGCAACCAAATCTCATCACGGATCGGTTGGCGAAGATCCTGCGGCTGCGGCGACAGCCCGCGAACGTGACAGTACAAGGAGCAGGTCAGCTTTCCAAACTTGTCAATGAATCCGTTTTCGCTCAGGTGCAGTCCAGGAAGGAAAACTTCTCGTGTGGTGTAAACTTTCTGGTGATGGATAAAGTGACTGCTGTTCTTCCTTCTCAAAACATTTCCATTGCGAATTGGAATATTCCGGATGAATTGTTCATGGCAGATCCATCGTTCAACGAGAGTCAACCGATAGATATGGTTCTAGGCGCAAGACATTTCTACTCCTTCCCCAGCAATGAGCGCATCCAGCTTGACAGAAACCTTCCACTTCTGGTCAACAGCGTCTTCGGTTGGATCGTTGCTGGTTCGACGAATGATAGCTCAGTCCCTCACACATCTGCACCATTTATCTCGTGCAATGCGGTCGAAGTTTCGATGATGTCTTTGGAGGAAAGCATGGAGAGGTTTTGGAAAACCGAAGAGTTGACAACCAAGGACAACTACTCAGTGGAAGAACGGCACTGTGAATCCATGTATCAGTCCACCGTTTCACGAAATGTTGATGGTCGATATGTAGTTCGGTATCCTCGGAAGTCCGACTTCAATGTGTTGCTCGGAAAATCTCGGGACAACGCCCAGCGAAGGTTCGAGTACCTGGAAAGACGCTTGGAACGAAACCCAAAATTGAAGAATGAATATCACCAGTTCATCAAGGAGTATATCTCCCTCGGCCACATGCGGTTGGTTGAAGCGGATGATGAAAATACTCCAGCCTACTATCTGCCCCACCACCCCGTAATTAAGGAAGCAAGTACGACGACCAAGGTCCGAGTTGTTTTTGATGGCTCAGCTAAAACTTCTTCCAGTTTCTCCCTCAACGAAGCTTTTTGCGTGGGTCCCGTGGTGCAGGACGATCTCCTGGACATCATTCTGCGGTTTCGTACCTTTTTCATCGCTCTAGTCGCCGACATTGCCAAAATGTACCGGCAGATACTTGTACATCTGGACGACACACCGTTCCAGCGTATCCTGTGGCGATTTTCCAAATTATCACCCGTCCAAATCTACGAGCTGCTGACCGTTACGTACGGTTTGGGCCCATCATCCTACCTAGCAGCACGTACTCTCCAGCAATTAGCAGAAGATGAAGGCGCTGCATACCCGAATGGCGGTCCAGCGTTGAAGAAGAATTTTTACGTCGACGACTTCATCGGTGGTGCTCAATCCGTCGAAGAAGCGATCCGTCTGCGTACAGAGCTCGACGAACTATTGAAGAAAGGTGGATTCGAACTACGGAAGTGGACTTCAAATCAGCTCGAGGTGCTGCAAAGTTTAAGCGATGAACAAGTTGGAACGCAATCCGCTCTTCACTTTAACCCAGATGAATCAATCAAGGCGCTCGGTATAATATGGGAACCTGAGGCCGATCTTCTCCGTTTCGATTCCCAGATTTGAGTCAGCGACGAGCCTCCGACAAAGCGGTCCATCCTCTCCGATACAGCCAAGCTTTTCGACCCTCTTGGACTCATCGCACCGGTAGTTGTTCGGGCGAAGATCATCATCCAGGAACTATGGCTTCTTTCCTGCGACTGGGATGACCCTGTACCAGAACCCGTCAAGTCGAAATGGGAATCCTACCAGCAAGAACTCTCGAGAATCTCTGAGCACCGTGTTGACAGATATGCTTTCGTTCCTGATTCAGTAATCCAACTGCACACTTTCGCAGATGCGTCTCAAACCGCTTACGGTGCCTGCACCTACGCCCGCTGTGAAGATAGTCAAGGACGAGTGAAGATCCAACTCCTAGCGTCGAAATCTCGTGTAGCACCGTTGAAACGAGTCACAATCGCCCGTTTGGAATTATGTGCAGCTGTCATAGCCGCTCATCTACATGCTCGCATCAAGAACGCTATTGACATTAGCATTTCTGCATCCTACTTTTGGTCGGATTCCGCAGTCACACTACAATGGCTACGATCACCTCCGAACGTCTGGCCGACCTACGTGGCCAACAGAGTCTCGGAAATCCAACAATACACACAAGGCTGTCAGTGGAAACATGTCCCTGGAGTTGAAAACCCTGCCGACTTGGTCTCTCGCGGCATGTCAGTCGACGATTTCCTCAAGAGCGATTTGTGGATTCGTGGTCCAAATTGGTTATCGCATTCACCCCAGAACTGGCCAATTTCTATCCCCTCGGGAGTACCAGAGGAAGAGTTGGAGATAAAAACTACCGTTGCAGTCATTCAAGCTTCACCGACTGTCCATCCATGGTTTCTGCGATGGTCTTCCTACAGTCGTCTGCTCCACGTCATTGGATACTGCATGCGCTTCGTCACTAATGTCCGTTCGAAAACCCGCACACAACCCTCGTCATCAAATGTTCCCGTCGGTCAAGCACTCACCGTTGCAGAAATCATTAAAGCCAAAACCTATCTCACCCGATTAGCCCAAGAGGATGGATATGCTGCGGAAATAAAACAACTGAAGAAGGAGAAAACCGTATCGAAGCAATCGCACATACGCAACATGAGCCCGTTTTTCGATTCAGAGGGAGTGTTGAGAGTGGGAGGTCGTCTTGATTTTGCTCTTTTGCCCTACCAATCCAAACATCCTGCCCTGATTTCCGCAAACCACCCGTTCACCCGCCTAATCGTCGAATATTTCCACCGCAAATTGCTTCACGGCGGCGGGCGCCTACTTTTGACTGCTGTTCGAGAGGAATTTTGGCCACCCAGGGGACGTAGACTGGTTCACAGTACCGTCCGAAACTGCTTCCGTTGTACTCGCCTCAATCCAATACTTGCTCAGCAGCAAATTGGGCAGTTGCCTGCTCAACGAGTCATTCCAAGCCGTCCATTTAGCGTCACTGGTGTTGACTATGCTGGCCCGCTTTATCTTCGACCGATACACAAACGCACTGCACCTGCCAAAGCCTACCTGTGCCTCTTTGTATGCTTCTCGACCAGAGCAGTACACCTGGAGTTGGTCAGCGACTTGTCCACAAAAGGTTTCCTGTGTTCCCTTCGACGGTTCATCGCTCGCCGTGGGCGACCCGCCCACATCCACTCTGATAACGGGAAGAATTTTGAGGGAGCAAAGAACGAGCTGGCTGAGCTATTTGTCAGATTCCGTGACCGTTCCCAGCAAGATGAAATCGTATCTGCCTGCGCCAGTGAAGGGATCACCTGGCATTTGACACCACCCAAAGCCCCACACTTCGGTGGCCTGTGGGAAGCGGCTATCAAAGTAGCGAAAAAGCATCTCTTTCGCACACTAGGATCATCTCGCATGTCGTTCGAAGAAATGTGTACCGTCCTCGCGCAAATCGAAGCAATCATGAACAGCCGGCCACTGCTTCCGATGACTGAAGACCCCAACGACATGTCCGCATTGACTCCAGCTCACTTCCTCATCGGTTCATCGTTACATGCTCTGCCCGACCCAGATCTCCGAAGCTTTCCGGCATACAAACTCGACCATTACCAGCAACTGCAACTGCATGTGCAGCAGTTTTGGACCCACTGGCGGAAGGAGTATCTTCAGGAGCTGATGAAGGACACCCGAGGCTGGAACCGCAACGAAGAAATCGTACCAGGGAAAATGGTCATCGTAGTCGACGAGATGCAACCTCCAATTCGATGGCCTCTTGCTCGCATCGAATCCATCTTGCCAGGAAAGGACAAATTAGCACGGTTTGTCATTCTCCGCACTGCTCGTGGTATCATCACTCGTCCCATCGCGAAAATCTGCCTGCTGCCGTACTCCACGGTAACTCCAGAAACGAAGGAATTTCCAGAAGATCCAGCGACAACGAAATTAAAATATTTCATTAGATTAAGCTGAAAATCTGTTAGAAGTAAGGAACAAAATCTAGTACGTAAGAGTAAAATTTATGTTGTTTGTTTATGTTTTCAATGTTGAACATACTCGTTCAAGGTGGCGGGTATGTTGGTTCTCGCAACACGCTCCACAGCTGGTGCTAGCGGGTACACTTTTAGACCAGTTTTTCTAGCCCTTCTGGCAACCGCGTCCGCTCAGCTTCACTGACAGGAACGTGATTTTCAATGCCCCACTAGCAACTACATATCAGCCTGTATTAGAAAGTTTTGTTGTTGTTCGATCACAAGTAAATTAGCCTGCAAAAGGGAAAGTTGATAAAAAGGAAGTGTAGTTTTTTTTGTTGGTTTTTTGCCATAAATTAATTCTCGTGATAAGCCGGAATATCGTTGCTGCCCATCGCTGAGCCCTTGGTGCGACGGATGAAGAAACAGTAAACACAACGTAGGGTAAGCGCGCCAACTGCAAAATGTTATTCACCATATATGCGTACCAAACTGCTCCACGTACATCTACAGGCGTATATGAGATCAGCGAGCTTGCAACTCGGAAGTGAACGACAATATGAACGATACTGCCGTATTATAATATGTCGATATGAGGAGTAAAACATAGAGATAGCGTTTTAAATTGTCCTAGAAAAATGGTCCTTGAATCGTTTTCATCAAATAGTTCTCACACAACTATCATGCAAAATGCTTAGATTTAGGCAGTATGACTAAAATAGTGAAATATATCCCATTTTATTTAGAGGGTGGAACCAAGAACACATGACGTGATAAAGCGAGCCATAATTTGTGCCCATGGCCACAATTTGTGCGGCTCGCAGCGCGCTTAAAGCATGACCCTTTAAGTAATGGAACAACATAATTTGGGTCTGTTACGGATTTGTCGCGGTTTCGAAGGAATTCTTAAACTTTTCCCTTAATCGAGATCTCATCAATATGCTTCTTGTGTCATCTGATCCTTTGATCACAAGCATTCGTGGATGGCCAAAAAAATTGGAAAAATCGTTTTCAGAGGACGCAAAAAGTCTTCTGAAGAATTTTCATCATGACAGCAAGAATGACAACGAGGATGATAACGAGAATGACAGCGAGAATGACAGCGAGAATGACAGCGAGAATGACAGCGAGAATGAATGAAATAGATAGGTTGTGAAATATTTGAATCCAGGAGTTTTTGATTATCAACAGAATCCCTAATAAAGATAAATAATAATAATATCAACAGAATAGAAGAAAACGAAAAATTATGAAATGTGCGTACGTATTTTTTACTAAAAATGATTGAATGCACTTACACTAAACATATCTTACAGTCGCTTACAGTCTAAGAGTTTTGCAATCATCTTAAAGTAAATTACTTGTAGTTTCACATGCATGGTTGATAACTTGCACCATTTTGCACCACATTGAGTTACAAGTACATAAAAAATGGCCAAAAAAAAAAAAAAAAATCTTAATAACTTTTTAATTTGAAAAACTACAGGGTTGCTATGTTGGACAAAGTTATGTATTTTAGCGTTGTCTATAACTTTTTAGAACATCTTAAAGTCGAAAAAGTTATAATAAAAAAGTTATGATTAAAAAACCACTTTTAAGGGGTTGTCGACAAATAACGTAACATATCTCCAAAAGTGAGCAAGTTACGGTTTAGGTATCTTCGACAAAGTTATTCCAAAGTATGATTCCTCAAACTTTTGTCGAGACACCAACCCTGTATATTGTAAAATTGAAAAAATAAATTTTCTATCTCACTTTAAGGGGGATTAATCCTTGTGCTGAAACGCCCAAAAGAAGCGCATACATTTATTGATAAACTTCTCAGAAGACACCATAGCCCTAAATATCAAAATAAAGATGTTATTAATTAAGCGCGCAAAAACGACGATTTCAACCACTGTGCATTGTATTACTTACAATGTGCCATTGTAAGGCTTAAGTGAAAACTCGCGACCGGATATACCTGGGTTGCTTCTGATGGAACTCACGACCTTTCCATGGATCTGACGGTTGGCAGTTCCACTCCGGCGTTTACTTTGAGGCTTCCGATTCGTCGTCAAGGTGAATACAATGCAGTAGTAGCAGTAGTAGTCCTTTGAGATTCTCGAAAGCTTTAGCCATGTAAGTAGCGTTGTCCGTTACAAATGCTGTTACAGCTGCCATATTTTCCTGTTCAGAAGTCGTTACAGGATTAACAAATATTACGTGAAGAACATAGCGATCTTGTGAATCACTGGCTTCATATGTAATAATCGCAATCGAAGTTGAGGTTTTAACTCTAGCTTCGAGTTCTTTTTGGTTCTGATCGAATACTTTGGTATGAATTCGGTACTAGTCCCAGGTTTTTCACATTCGATTGGAGATACTCACGCAGTTTAGGATGGTCTAGTCTATGTAACGGAACACCCCCCATCAACTCAAAATGTGACACGTTTCGCTCATCTCTGGCATTCGTTTGACGCTGAAATGCTCCAACAATACTCGCTTGTTTTTTGACGTAGGGTTACGTCTTTCGGCAACATATTGGGGGTGCAATTTCAAAAAAGCAAAATCGACTACGTTACGAAAAGTGGTCAGGTTTTGACCACTTATAACTCTGTCAATAGCGGATGGATTTTAATGCTTAACAAGCTAATCGATTTGAAATTTTTCACAAATCTGATAAAATTAACAAACTACAAAAATCGCTTTCTCTAACACAGATTTCAAAATCTAATTTCATCCGCAGCAGTGCTTTCGGTGCGTGACGTTGTACATTTTTCTCCAGTACACAATGAAATGCTCCCCGCAAGCAGCTAGCTAGCAAGGCTGCCCTCTAGTTGGCAACAAAAATGGAATGATGGTGATTCGGGAAGATGGTTACATTCTATTCTTGCACTGGTGTCGAACAAACCATGGTTCAAAGGGTTGGATATGAGCCGCGACTTTATACACTATCCGGTGGTGGCTGACGTGGGTTCTTCAGCGTCGCGGCGAAACTATCACCGGGTAGATTGGTCGCAGTTCCAACACTGCGTTGACATCAGTAGCGACTATGACGTCCACCCGGAAACGACCGACGACATCGACCAGTGTCTGCGATCCATCGATGAAGCGACTTCCCGGGCCAGGGAGCAACATGTTCCAGTATCCAGACAGGTGATTAATACTCTGAAACTCGGCTTTTCCCGCCTGGTAACATAAAAGTCCACCTTCATAATACTCTCATTGAATGGTCAAGTGAAGTAATCTACCTAGGTCTCACGCTTGATAGCAAGTTGCTGTTCCGTTCCCATTTGGACAATCATCCACCAAGTGCAACATCTTGATTAGGTCGCTCTATCCACTTATCAACAGAAACTCTACCCTTTCCATTAAAAACAAGCTTGCCGTCCACAAGCAAATCATCCACCCACCATTGAGTACGGAACGCCAATATGGGAGAGCTGTGCTAAGTGCCATCTCCTCAAACTCCAAAGGATTTAGAACAAAATTCTTAGGATGATCCTCAAGAGTCCCCCTCGGACTTGAAATTCTGAGATCCACCGCCTAACTGGTCTTCAGACTCTGGAGGAGCGGATCTTGCGATCTTGCAAATTAGGTTATTTTTTCACAGTTAGGTACGTTATCAAATTATTTTTTTTTTCAATTCAACCAAAAAATGAACCCCAGACAATCTCTTGTAGACTAGTTGAAAAACGTGAATTCATAAATCAGGATAACAAATTTAACAAAAATGAAGAGCCTGATAGGCTAATCAATTGAAATGTTAAAACAATGTAAATCGTAATTCACATAAACAAACTTAATTTTACTACAACTCGAGGTTCTTGGTGAATTTTTTTCAATATATAGTTCCACGGCAAAGTTCGAGTGGTTGAAGACTTCATTTTCAACTGCTCGAATGATGTGATCCATTGTCGAACTCTAAAACTCCCGGTGACAATAGATACTACCCCCACGATATGCCATGAGAGAAGCAACAAATTATCACGTTTTCAACAATAAATCGGTAGCTGAATGGAAATTTATCGCGTGGAAAATTGAACTCCATCGAGCTCGGAGGAAACGATGGTGCAGTGGGTGGAAGCGGGCAGCGAGTCCATAAATTTGCCAATGGAATGGATTCCTGGAAACCATACTCGCCAGCCTGCCGCCGGGTGGGACAAAGTTCTGAAAAAAAATACATAAATTCACTTGTGAATACCCGCATACAGTCGCCGTCACCGAGTTGCTATTAAAAATTTACCGCTTTGTCATGTAACGATAGAATTCGGATGAATTGCTCTGCCGTCGGTAATGGCCATTCACGGGACCGTGGACGGCAAATTATTGAAACGGGATATCAGTTAAGTACGGGTTCGCTGGCAGGTTGCACATACTGGAGAAAAAAAAACAGGTTTTTTTTATGGATATTGCATTGCATGGTAAAATTGTGATGTACTGAAAATGCGTATCATTTATCGCTTCAATTAAAACGGATGGACATGTAGACACATTTCCGATTATTTGAAGTGGAAGCCCTATCACTTCAAGAGCCACATGTGAAAAGGACATACAAGCTTTTTGTAAACAAATCTTTGTAGGTTCTTTTCTCGCCAACCAAGGGTCACCTACGCAAACCAACCACATCATCGGAAAGGGGAAAGTTTCTCCTACCCTGTGATGTTGATGGTTTGCGTTGGTGTCATATTGATGGCGAGAAAAGAGCATAAGAAGGTTTGTTTACAAAAAGCTTGTATGCCCTTTTCACATGTTGTTCTTGACTCGTGTTTTTGACACAAGACTACGTCTTTTGGGAAGGGTGCCAATTCAGAGAAATGCAACGAAAATTTGTCAGACATAAAATGCTAATAACTTGGCCAATAATCAATTGATTTTAATGATTTGTGTGTCGAACAATTCACCAGTCTTATAAATATTGTGTGGTATCCCAGGTAACAATTT